CCAACCAAACAAAATCCCAATGCATCAAAATCAAACAAGTCTCTGTGCATGGATATGGCGTACATCTGCCCATTTGGGTATATGCGGAGGTCAGAGGTTTTATATCAGAATGGCTTCTTCAATAGCTTCTCCCTTTATTTTTTTGATACGGGATCCCCATTAAAGCCAGCGCTTAGGTGTTTTGGTTAGACTGGCTTGCTGGTCAGCCCCCAGGGATTCTCCTGTCTGCCCTCCCCACTCCCCAGCACCGGGTTACAGAAGTGCTCGGGTTTTATGTCGAAGCTAAGAATCCAAACTCATCCTAACATGCTAACAGCAAACACTTCAGCTACTGCACCATCTCCCCAGACTCAAACCCTAAGGTTTCCTGGGGGTGTGTGATCACAGGACAGTCATTTATTATCTGTACTCTGTCACCTTGGTAACAGTGACTGCAACCCCTTTTCCTTCTTGTTGGTAGTCACAAAAGTGCTCGGTGGGAGCCTGGGCCTATCCTCTGGTAGGAGTGCTTTCTCTGGAGCGCAACTTTGATGTCTATAGAAAAAAGCAAATGGAGCAATGGCATTTTGGTTCAGCTGCTCATTGTTCAAACATCCGAATTTAGCCAAGCGGATATTCTCCTAAGGCTGTATATTCATGCTATTGTGTGTGTGTGTGTGTGTGTGTGTGTGTGTATAACACACAACAACACAGGAAATGCTCCTCCTAGTGCCTGGCATGTAACAGGAACTCAGTAATTATTAGCTATGTCTACTTGGGTGGAAGAGATGATCCTTACAGCTCTACGAAGGCCAGGCCAGATGGAGCAGCCTAAAGGAGGTCTAACCGTGCACCTTCCGTGGGCCTTTGGGGTCTCCTGCAGCTCGAGGACTCTTGAGCATCCTGGCTCTCCAAGACTCCCTCCCAGCAGGGCCTTTTAGCTTTCTCTGTGTTTATCGGCTTTCTATCCTTGCTTGGGCTCTGAGAATCACAAATAGCCCCGGCAGAGGGAGTCAGATGCTCTGAGTCTCCCTGTGCTAATGGATGGTCACACACCCCCTGCCACCACAGCTGGTGACAGGCTTCAGCATAAAGGAAGGCATTTGAGGATCTATTTTTCTCTCCCGGCGGAGTGCATTACTCACCTACTCCTGTGTGTCACAAGGAAGGAAAGCAGAGAACACAATAAACCACCAAGGATGAGTCAAATCGCAATAGAGAGGCTGGGCTCCAAGGCAGGAGGCTGCTGCTGTTTTTGCATTCCCAAGAGTCAAATTGCAAGGCGTCCTGAACTTTCTGCTCCCTTCATCTCCGGGGGAAGAAAGGCAAATGGGACTGTGTTCCACTGTGCAAGGTAGAGAAACAGAAAGGTACGCTCCAGAACTGCTTCCTAAGGCCTCCGGAGATGGGAGAGCAGGGTGCCAGGCTTGTCCACTCCACCTCCCAGCTCTTTGGTCTTTCTTTCTCTCCTTGGTGCCCGTGGCTTTTCAGCCAGCTGTAAGTCTGTGTGGGAAACGTCCCTGCTCTCCAGCAGTGCCCAAGGCCCTCTCAGCAAGCAGCCAAAAGAGGCTGCGTTCATCCAGGGGAGACTTGCCTCCCTGGAAGGGGCCACCACTGGCCTCTACATCCTGAAAAAGCTCTCTTCTGAAGGTGACATGAGGCTTTTCCCCAGAAGGTGCTGAGGAACAATTTCATGACCACTTGGTGGTCGTTCTACATTTTCATACAATTTCTTTTTTCAGTAGCGGAATCAGAAGAGGCAGAGGGAAAGGCAGTCGGATCTCCGTGAGTTCCAGACCAGCCTGATCTAAACAGCAAGCTACCGTCTGGCCAGGGCTACATAGTGAGACCCTGTCTGAACAGCAACAACAGCATCATCAACAACAACCAAATCAGAAAGAAAGCTCTAAAGAAGGTTGGGGTGACGTGGGGTGTAGGATAGAGACAGACAACACACGCCATTGAGGAATTAGCCAGCAGCCTCTGTCTTGTCTTGCATGAGGTATATTTTGAGCATCTTCACAGGCCACTGGGACAAACGCCATGGAAAATACACATTTTGACATGATCGGCATACCTGAGGCCGTCCCAGGGAGCTTGCAGTAATACAGGCTCTTTCTGTGTTCTGAGGGATTCTGCTTGCAGTAATACAGGCTCTTTCTGTATTCTAAGGGATTCTGGGCCCCTGGGCATCATGTGGAAACCTCTAGTTTAGAAATCTCCCCAGGTGGTCCTGATGCCCCCTGGCTTTGGGAACTGTGGCACAGGACCACGTTTTGAAAGGAAGAGATCACATGTCAGCTACTCTTCCCTGGGACACTCATTTATTTTTAAGAATTGATTGTTTGAGAGCCTGCCTCACAAAAACAAAACAGAAATTGCTAAATTTAGCATCTAGAGGTTCCTTGGCCAAGTATGCGCTACTCTTGCTCACAGTGACCCGTAACTCCAGCTCCATGGGGTCTGATGACCCATTCTGGCTTCTGTGGGCACCTGAGTACACATGACACATACACGGCACCCACACATGGCATGGGGGTGGGGGAGGGAGAGAGAGAAATAAAAATAAAATTGGTCTTTTAAAAATTAGAAACTTGCCAGGTGGTGGTGCACACCTTTAATCCCAGCACTCGGGAGGCAGAGGCAGGTGAATCTCTGTGAGTTCAAGACCAGCCTGGTTACAGAGATTTCTAGGACAGCCACGACTACATAGAGAAACCGTGTCTCAAAAAAAAAAAAAAAAAAGAGAAAGAAAAAGAAAATCTATTAGAATTTTTTTTTTTACATTTTTCTCACTTATTTTTGTGTGTAGAGGGGTGGTGGCATGCGAGCAGTGACTCATATGTGGAGATCACAGGGCAATCTGTGGGAGTTGGTTCCCTCCCTCCATCATGTGGGTCCCAGGGATGGAGCTCAGGCTTGGTGGCAAGACTCTTTATCCGCTGAGTCATGTCAAAGGACCCTGAGTGGGGGAGATGAGCTTTGTGCCCCAGTGAAGAGAGCGGTTCAGAGAGCAGCCCTGATGGCCTTTGCTTTTACCAATTACTAAAAAGAAGTCTTTCAGTTCATTAATGCCCAGGCCTTTTTGTCTCGTTTGGGCCAAACTGCAAACCAAACAAAAGAAACCAACAAAAGAAACCAGTCTTCAGACCCAGCCCTTGGATTCCAGAAACGAGTGTGGCCTATGGTGCGTGGCCTATGGTGGCCTTTGTCACACGTATTTCTACCACAAGCACATATGTAGGCACACTCTCCACAGATCCACACAGCATTACACACATACACATACACACCACACACTCCACATTCAGTGATATGCACTCACACACATTTAATACACATTTGAAGCATGATCAATACATAGCCCCAAGAATTAGACGGCTCAGTCCACCCTCCCACCACACACACTGTCACCCACACCCAGCATGCACTACTCAACAGGTACACATGAGCAATAAACACGTTCCACACATACTCTGCCCATACAACATACGACATTCTTGCAGATGGTTACATAGTCTCAGTCCCTGTGATAGTGGGTTTTCTTTGACTTTGTTGTCCAGCAATCTGAAGGCGTGACAACCTGTAAGGAGCTGGGAACGATTACCTACGCTCTACAATGTTGGTTTCATAACTTACCTGCCCAGAGAGCAAAGGAAAGGTTATAGGGCAAGTAATAGTTCTGCCCGTGAAGACGTCACCTGCCCTGTGAGCTCTTTCTCTACCTACCCCTTTCTACCTTCATCTGTCATCATGGGAAAGTTGACCCAACCAGGTCAACAAAAAGTTAACATGTACTATGGCTTTTAAAGGAGAAATAGGTCGTTCTGAATTATCCCCCACAGAGCATAACTGTTTAGAGAATATTTCAGAAGCCGCCTGACCATTTGAACAAATTAATTGACGTCAACTGTTACAAACCCAAAACTTCAGCAAAGAATTCCGTTAGCAAATGGAATCGATGATTTTGTCATATCTAAAATTAATTTGCTTTTGTATCCGAGCTCTGACGTTAGCAACATTTTTCAAAAAAAGAAATTTTAGAAAGCCCCAGAGAATTCTGGGAATGGCATGTAAATGAAGAAGACCGCGGTGTCCAGTGTTCGCTCCTGGCTGGCACGAGACTCTGGGACCATCTAGTTTGGCAAGAACTGCGCTGGGTAGAGTGCTCCACCCCCTTAGTGGGGCTGTTGTCAGAGACTGCTGGCGGGGACTCATTGTCCTTACCGCGTTCCTCTTCGCCTCGCCTGCCAGCTTGCTCTCTTTGGTTCAGCTCCATTTTCAGCATCCCAGGCCTGCAGTGATATTTCGATCCTCCCCGTTCCAGTCTCTAAGCATCTGTTCAGTATGCAAACGTGTCTGGGGCACAGGTGCTCCACTTCCAGAAACTCCAAGGAAAGTCACGTGATTTCCATGACGCTTTAGTACTTTTGTTGCTTTTAGCCTTTATATTTTATTTCATGTCACAACATACCAGCCTGCCACTATGGAAATTAAAACAGAAACAACAACCAGATCCATTACCTGACATCATTTGAAAAGCAGTAAAATAGATGTTAAAAATGTAAAATTCTTTCTATGAAAAGACACAGAAAAGATGGGAAAGACCATAAAATGATGTGTGCAGATTTGTGGTACATGAATTGTCCAGAGGGGAAAGGGAAGGGAAGGAGTGGAGGGGGAGGAAGAAAAGTGATTCAGACAAAAATGGATAAAAACCAGTAGTAGACACTCTGCAGAAAGAAGTCCTAAGGCCTGGTGAACCTCAATATAACCGAGATAATGGTTCCTAAAACTACAAGGGCTGGAGACAGCTCGGTGGTGGGATGCTTGTGTAGCAGGGCTCAGGGCCTGGCGTCACTTCGAGTCCCACCACCAATGGTAGCATTTTGGGATAAAGGGGGCTTGAAGTCGGCATCCTGGGAAGAAATGTTTGTGTAGGGATAGCGCACAGTGCAGTTGGTTCACTGAATTCAACCTCTCTCCTAAAGTCACCTGCCCACGGTGTCTCTGACAGGCAGGTTTCTCAGAATCATTCGTTCCCTTCCCATGGGTCTCAAGAGTCCACCACATTCAGACAGGAGTTTCCCAGTCTCCAGGAGCCAGCCCTTCACTTGAGCCTCCTCTTGTTAGAAGTCCAGTCTGTTCTCTTGTGGAACTCCTGGTGCTGCTTTCTCCGAAGCCCTGACCTCATAGCATCCACATTCAGCTGCATAGGGAGAATCGCTTTCCGTGGTAAGTTCTCCTAATTTTTCGTGCTTTGACTTTTTGCTTGTTTGAGGTTTACATGGATCCATTGATTTTTCTGACCTACCCAGGAACACTGCTATTTTTAAATAAAAGCAGAATGGACCCAGTTAAAGCAATCGGAAACCATCTCCACTGGTGAAAGTGACCTCCAGGGCAGGCCAGCCTCCAGGGCTCTGACACAGCGATTGGAGGGACTCCCCTCTGGGTAGAGGAGGGCTGGGGGCTGGGGTCCTCTGATGCCAGCCCCTGACAGTAGCACAGCTCATCACTGCCTCTCTCTGTTCCCTTCCCTTCTGATCTGTGAGCTGCCCTCCAGCTATCTCGTGTGGGTTCCCTGAGTGCAGGGTTGGTGGGAGCTGCGTTTTTTTCTCTGCCACAAAGCCCTGGAAGGGTCCAGCGCATGGGTCATCTTGTGGTAGCCTCTGGGGTTGCCCTTGTCTCTATATGAGATGGCCTTCAGTCCTACCTAGTAGGGGCGCACAGGAGTCTGATGGGAACGGGAAGTAGGCAGACAGGCAGCTGGTTGTGTTCTATAAGGGCGCAGCCTGAGCACACTGTTCCGTTCCACCCACCTGATCCTCTCAGGACGCAGATAAGCGCTGGGGTGGAGCAGCCCTCCCTGTTCGTGTCGCCTCCTCTTAGTCCCTCAGTGGCTGCCACACTCCAGCTCCTGTCTCTGATGACTAGAACACGCCAGCCTAGTCAAATGCCATCTTTCCCTGTTCCTTGTACACTACCAGGGCGATCTGTTTAGTTCTCACGGGGACAGAGCTGGTAAATCACTAGATGTCCTCCGGCCTCTGGGAGTGCAGGGAAAATTCCCTCAGGAGTCGCAGGTCCAGGAACACTCACAGCCCAGAACATGAATAATAACATACAAGATCAAAGCATCCTGGGAACGGACCAACTAGGGTCGTTCACCACGACCCCTAAAGAACACGGGCCATCGCCCAGAGGAGCTCAGAGCTTTCGGAGGACTCTGTGTTAGGCATAGGAGAAAGAGCGGTGGAACACCAGGTGGGGTGGCCTCCATGTGCCCACTGGCAGGTCAAATCCACATGTGTTTTCAAACTACCCCATAAGGCGAGCAAGTCAAAACCTAATTCTAAACCTATTTTGAAGATAGATAGACGAGGACTCCAGACCTTGACTTGACCTTCTTTTGTTGAGAAAAAAAAAATCTCATTTATTTCAGGCTGAATGAGGATGACTTTAAACTTCTGGTCCTCCCGCCTGCATCTGCCTAGCCCCAGGACAGGCATCACTGTGGCCCATTCCGTGTGATGCCAGCTGGTGACAGAGCCCAGGGCCCCATGCGTGCTACGCCACCACCAGCTGAGCTGCATTTCCAGCCTGACCATGCATCTTAAGTTCTTTGCTCAATGCCATGTGGCAACCCCAGACCTTGAACTTGGATTACTGCCACCTCACAAAGACCTATGCGATGCTGGAGGTCAGGGAGTGGAAAGTGAAGCCGCCCGCTTGCAGGGATCTTGGCAGACTTGGTAGTGTAAAGGCAGCTCTGGGAAGTAGGGCTCTACGGGAAATACCGTGCTAGCAGCAAAGATGGACCAGTAGGAAAGGCAGAACGCAGAGGAAAGACAAACCTCCAGGAGGAAGCTGGTTTCCGTGCACGTGTCTCCCAGCTTCTGTTCTATCTCTTCTGTGTGTTGTCTCACTGTTATGGGCAAATAGAGATACACTAAGAATCCCTCCCCCCAGTTTTAACCCCCAAATTCCCACTTCTGTACGCATTTTGTCATTTTCTCTTAGAGAAGGCAAACACTCAGACCCGTAGTCAAGCTCACAGCAGAGGAGTCTGGCAAAGAAAGAATGGGAAACTATGTTTGTACGACCAGGGGTTGGCAAACTGTGGCTTGTGGATAAACCTGGCCTGCTTTCTGTTTTCATAAATAAAGTTTTATTAGAACACAGCTTCTCTGATCGTTTCCATACCGTCTGTGGCCACTTCCACACTCCAAGAGGAGAGTAGTTGGGATGGGAATTGAGACCTGTAAAATCGGAAATGCTTGAAGTGTGACTTGCTACCCTCTCCACTAGATGTCGCCACTGGGGTCCGAGGCGTGAATATCTACAAGGTGAGGGAAATTGGGCTTGGACAGATGGCTCAGTAGTTAAAAGGGCATTCTGCTCTTGTAGACCTGAGTTCAAATCCCAGAACTCATGTCAGGCAGCTCACAACTGCCTGTAACTCCATCTCCAGGGAAACTCAACATCTCTGGTTTCCACAGGCATACACTTATGCATATGTGCACACACCCACACATACAGATCCATAGTTAAAAAGAATATAAATGGGTGCTGGAGAGATGGCTCAGTTGCTATGAGCACTTGCTAGTCCTCCAGGGGGGACCTGAGTTCAGTTCCCAGCACTCATATGACACCTCATAACTGCCTGTAACATCAACTCCAGGGGACCTGATAGCCTCTTCTGACTTTCTTGGGCATTATACATATATATATAGTACACATACATACATGTAGGCTAAACATTTACATAAATAAATCTTACTGTGTTTCTTTTCTTTTCTAAGTCAGGGTTTCTCTGTGTAGCCCTAGCAGTCTTGGAACTCACTCTGTAGACCAGGATGGCCTCAAGTTTACAGGAATCCACCTTCTTTTGTCTCCCAAGTGTTGGGATTAAAGGTATGCACCACCACACCCAGCCACATAGATAAATCTTAAAAAAAGAAAAAGTTCTTTGGAAAAGAAAAAAGGAAGAATTCCCCTCCTAGTTACAAGAAGTGAGGAACTCTTCGGAGTGGCTGCTTAGTGTTCAGAAGGGCAAATCGTACCCAGGGCTCACTGAGTGCCAGGCAACACTTGAAATGGTCTCCACATAGAATTTATTATTATGATCACCCTGTTATTCATGAGGAAACTAGGGATTCCAAGAGATCAAGTACCAGAGTTCACACTAGGGTGACACATAGCAGGCAGACATAGTATTTCCCGCTGGGTTGCATAAGGAACCCTGCGTGCCTTTGTGTCTCTCACCCTTCTGAATCCTGGGCATTCAATAGTTCCTTCCACAAGAAGGCGTGGAGCCGGCCTGATGGAGCCACCGTGGAATGCTGTAACCAAGCCAACCGTTTCCGTAGGTGGGCACTTCCACGCAGCAACCGCCACATATCATGTGTGGCGCCTGCCACTCACCGAGGAGCACAGCTATTTACAGGGTGCTGACTCTCCTTCGATGCACTGGCCTGGGGAGGATGAGAGCTGAGACAGAGCAAAGCCTCTTCCGGCACAGCAACAAAGTGCTCAAGCCATGGCGCAGTGAGCTAAGTCAGAGTCACCGGCTGAGTAAGGTGGGGAGGGACTTTGAGGTCGCTATCACAATGCTCAGAGACTAGTCAGTCAGGCCTTGAGGATGGCTCACGTCTACCCAGGCTGGACTCTGTGAAAAAGCCTCTCGCGAGTAACTGAAGAGGATAAGACATGGGCGGGGCGCTCCCCACTCCCATAACCACCAATCAGCTGTCTTCAACTGCCTGACTACCCAATCACAGCTAATTTCTCAACCCCCTGCAAAAGGTGATTGGTGCAAGAAAATTGAAGACTTGGGGTCTGCAAAGAGGCAAAAACAAAACAAACAAAAGAAATCCGTGCTGCTCCTTTCACTTGAGGAGGGCGGGAGGAAGCAACTGCCGGAGAACGCTGAAGAGGACTCAGGTAGTGCCTAGGAACAGACACCTACCTACGGAACTAAACTCACTTGCCTCCTGCTCTTGCGGTTCTCAGTTATCCGTGACCAGGCTCCACCTCCTGCTGCTGGGGACAAGGGAGAGGAGAGAAGCTGGCAGCTCAGAGGAGGCTGGCCCCAGCAGTTGGTGTCTTCGCTTTCCACCCACACGCCCCCTCCCCAAGCAGGCGCCCGGAGGAGAAAACAGGCTGTACCTCGGTGCTTTCTTTGTGGTAGAAATCTCTCACCTCCTTCCCGACTCCCACCATCCCAAATACGGAGAAAAATAAGAGGAAGGATAAAGACTATTTGGTCAGTGTTCCCTTGCTCGTGAGAGATAGTTTATACAAAGCGGCTGTCATGGCGTTGCAGGTGTCAGGTTAAAATATATATATATTCCACTCCAAACTAAATGGGGGAGAAAGATCACGTGCGAATAACTGGCTGCTCTCCGCACAGCTCCACTATTTGGAGGCAAGCCCAGAAGGCAGAAGGACCTGTTTCTGAGTTCCTTAATCATGCCTTAGTGCCTGCAGCCCTAAGGGAAACCAGGGCTTATAACCTTGGCAGGCTAGCTGGAGATGGGGGCGGAGCAAGGTGCCCTCACAGTTCCTATGGCTGTTAAAAAAAAAAAAAAAAAAAAAGACCTAGAACTCCAGAGTGCCCAGTTTGGAATGTGTTCTTGCTGGGTGGAGCCTTTGCTCCGAAGGGCTGGGCACCGCTCACCATTCCTCTGTGCTCTGGGTGGTGAAGCAAACACCCAGCTGCATTCAGGCCTAAGGTGTCAAATGAGGAGTGGAGGGCATTTATTCCAGGAGCCAAGGTCCCAAGCACATGTCTTTGTTAGCTTTAACTGTTACCTTGTCACAGCCTAGAGTGACCCAAGAAGGGCGTCTCAGCTGAGAGATCGCCCGATCATATTGGGTGGTAGTCGTGTCTATGAGGAATTGTCTTGTTAACTGATAAAGAGGGAGTGGCGCAGCCCACAGTGGGCAGCACAGTTCCCTGTGCAGGTGGGTCTTGGGTTGAATAAGTTAAGGACGAGCCAGCAAGCAGCCTTCTGCCATGATTTCTGCTTCAAGCTTCTGCTTGAGTTCTTGCCCTGACTTCCCTCCACCGTGGACCTGGGAGTGTAAGTCAGGTGAATCCTTCCCTCCACTAAGTTGCTTTTGGCCAGATCGCTTAATCCCAGCAACAGAAGGGAAGCGAGAGCGCTACTCCATGACGTCATTAGTGAGTGCCGGTGGAGAGCACCGCCTGCTGGGTCGAAGACACCAAGGAGCCAGGCGCTGCTCACGCAGGTCTTCACGTGTGTGTCCATGAGTGTGGCTCATGGACCCGAAACCAATATATACAAAACCGAAAGTCCCTTTGCTGTGACAGAGAGGTCCAGGTGCCAAGGGTGAGGTACCAGGCCTTAGCTGGTGGCTTAGAGAAAAGAGGCCGATCAGGGGGAGGCGTGGCCTGGAGGGGGTAAGGGTTCCTCTGCACACCTGCAGGGCACCCCGCGTGGGGCACCAAGGGCACTCCACCCACCCACACGGGGGAGGAGACAGCACAGGACCCAGATACAACTCTCCTGGGACTTCCCCAGGGCTGTTCTTTCTCTGTAGAGTTATTTATCATGACCCCCCTCCCCCACGCACTCTCATTTCTTAACTTGTTCGTAGACACAGGGGCATTCCTGTTTCCTGTCTGCATGTGTTTCTGGGCCATCATTTCTGCCCGCAGCCTTACACCAAGCGAAGATACGCGTCTGGAGATGAGAACAGAAGACACAGAAAGGCGTTTTGAGGGAAGAGTCTATCTGAGTAATCCTTCCTCAGAGACTTCACTCTGCTTGGTGCTAAAGGCGGAATGAAGGGGATGGAGCCAGGGTTCAATACCACCCTGATTATTGTATCCAAGCGTACTGGGTCACCTTGAGCAAGTTTCTCCTCTCTCTCTCTCTCTCTCTCTCTCTCTCTCTCTCTCTCTCTCTCTCTCACACGTATATGTTGCCTTGTGTGGGGCATGAAAGGAATGTACTAGGTTAAGGTTACCTACCTTGGGCCCACAGATATGGTTTAGAGGGTTTACGAAACCCTCGAATTGTCCATGAAGAGGCCCACAAGTGTCACTCAGCTCCCGTGGAAAGCTAGAAGCACCTGCCAGTGTGGTGGCATCCACAAGCCAGCAAAGTTCAGATCTCTGACTGTGGCATAACGGGTTCGTTTACTGAAGAGAAAAAAGTGATGGGGCCTCAAAGAGCCACAAAGGGGCTGTGGAAGGAAGGTCAGCTACAAACAGGAAGTACAACTCTTTCGTTTGCGGCAAACTACCTTCAGAGACACGCGAGTGAAAAGATGTAAATCTGAGGTGGCTGTGATTTGTCCCCCCCCCCCGTCCTTAATAAATACTCATTTTAACCTAATTTTGTTTCTCTCTCTCTCTCTCTCTCTCTCTCTCCATATATATA